GACACCTACTACACAAAGCCACTCTACCAATTCCAGGAGACATAGCAGCTCTACCTAATACATAGAAACAAATAGCTAGAAGGAGCCAAAATGTGGAGGCAAAGAAACATGTCACAAAGGAAAGGACAGAAGAAATCTTTAGAAGAGGAACTAAATGAAATAGATCCAAGCAAGCTAACACATACAGAGTTCAGAATTTTGGTTATAAGGATGTTTAAGCAGACTATTAGGGAAATAACTGAGAAAATCGATAACATAATAAAGTACCAATTTGAAATGAAGGCTACACAAACTGAAATGAAGAATAATCTACAGGGAATCAACAGTAGAGTAGAGGAGACTGAGAATCAAATCAGCAATTTGGAACATGAGGAAACAAAAAACACCCAACCAGAAGAGCAAAAAGAAAAAAGAATCCCGAAATATGAAGATAGTATAAGGAGCCTCTGAGACAACTTCAAGAGGCCCCACATTCGTATTGTTGGGGTGCCAGAAGGGGAATAAAGAGACCAAGAAATTGAAAACCTATTTGAAAAAATAATTACAGAAAAGCTCCCCTACCGGGGGAAAGAAATAGACTTACAAGGCCAGGAAACAGAGAGTCCCAAACAAGAGGAACCCAAAGAGGCCCACACCAAGACACATCATAATGAAAATGCCAAAGGTTAAAGACAAAGAGAGAATCTTAAAAGCAGCAAGACAAAGGCAATTAGTTACCTACAAGGGAGCACCCATATGACTGCCAGCTTATTTCTCAACAGAAACCTTGCAGGCCAGAAGGGAGTGGCGAGAAATATTCAAAGTGATGAAAAACATGGAACTACAACCAAGATTGCTCTACCCAGCAAAGCTATCATTTAGAACTGAAGGTCAGATAAAGAGCTTCACAGATAAGAAAAAGCTAAAGGAGTTCATCACCACCAGACCAGCACTACAGGAAATGTTGAAGGGTCTTCTTTAAGAAGAAGCTAATGAACAAAAGAATCTGATGAACTAAATAGATCCAGAGACATTGACACATGCAACAGACGATCATATTTCAGAGGAAAGAGGGAAGGGGGGTGGAGGGTGGGAAGAGATTAACCAAAGAAGTTATATGCATATATGCATAACCCATGGACACAGTTAATAACCTGTCTCTTATACACATCTAGATGTGTATAAGAGAAATATTCAAAGTGATGAAAAACATGGAACTACAACCAAGATTGCTCTACCCAGCAAAGCTATTATTTAGAACTGAAGGTCAGATAAAGAGCCTCACAGATAAGAAAAAGCTAAATGAGTTCATCACCACCAGACCAGCACTACAGGAAAAGTTGAAGAGTCTTCTTTAAGCAGAAGCTAATGAACAAAAGAATCTGATGAACAAAATACATCCAGAGATATTGACACATGCAACAGACGATCATATCTCAGAGGAAAGAGGGAAGGGGAGTGAAGCGTGGGAAGAGATTAACCAAAGTTATCTGCATATATGCAGAACCCATGGACACAGTCAACAATGGGGTGAAGGCCTGGGGAGGGGGTGGGAGCGAAGTGGAGGGGTTCAATTGGGGGGAAAAAAATGGGACATCTGTAATACTCTCAACAATAAAGATAAATTTAAAAAAAAAAAAGACTTTTTAGAAAACTGAACAAACAAACATTGCAAGAAACTCTACCACGTTGGTAAGGAGACTCTTGGTTAATGAATTATGTTACAGCACTTAACTAATGTGAATCAGAAACAACATGGATATGTTCAAAAAATAATTAGCATAACTAACATATTATTGAGAGCTTATAAATGCAAGATTAAATATTAAATGTTTTACCTTCATTACATCTGCATATTTTTATTCCCACTTTATATTAGTAAACTCACTTCCTAGGCACTAAGTAGCTATGTAAACATCACACATTGTAAACTTCAAAGCCAGAATTAATTCTAGAACTCACTGACCACAGAGCCCATTGATTGAATTATTAAGTTACATTGTTTGATTCATTACTATTGCTTACACAACTAAAGGCACCCTTGCTGACTTTGACAGCCATGGGACATTTTTGGAAATTTGAAACAACAGTGTTCTAATATAAATGATCTTCACATTTTTTTAAATCATTTTATAGTTTTATATCTTTGCCATTAACGCAGTTGCCAATTTCTTGTGTTACATAAGTACTTTAAAACTTTCATTGTTGTTTTGGTGTCAATATTTTTTAGGTTTTGAATAAGTTTAGTGTGACAAAGTACAATCATTGCTGAAAATTTTGGCAATATAAATTTTTGGTTTATGACTTTATGTTTAACATTGATTCGGATCCAATACATTATATTGTTCTGAAAATGAAGGATCCTATGAAAGAATACACTACTTGCTTTTAAAAAATACTATAAACTTTCATGATGATTATTTAAATAAAAATTGTTTATTTTGTGGTAGAAATTTCTGAGTCCCATGTCACCTCCATCATGGGTTGGAGCTTTTCGTAACAGCAGTGATCATCCTGGGATGTGGATAAATGGTTCAACTTTCAAACTGAAGTAAGTTGTTTTTAAAATGCTTTATAAAAAGAAAATACAAAAAAGATAAATTCAGAAGAGTATTATTAATGCTTTTGTTTAAGTTGATTTATATACATGAAGAATGATGTTCAAAGTTAGTGCAATGTTGATATAAATATTAAGGAACGGCTATCCACTTTTTCTATAACCAACTCTTACTAACTTTATATGAAAAATGTCATTTTTTTAAAATATTCTCCTATTGCAGTTACATGGAAACTGCTATTTATCACTTCATCGATTGCCCATATGATGTAACAACAAAAGTATGCATCTTTCTTCATTACAGGATAGCAGAATTATCAACTGGTAAAGGTGACTGTGCTCTGCTAAACCCATATGGCTCCACATCATGGAATTGGGGATCTTCAAAAATATATAGCTGCAAGCATAAGCTTTAGATTTAACACACCTGAGTTTGGATTCTGTTGGATAACTTTACTTTTCATGAAATGGAAATAATATTATGATCGCATAAGTCTTCAAATGAATTATATTATTTGTTCTAATAATGAAATAATTTTCCATAACAATTCTTGGAAAATAATATACACATTTAAAAGTACAGATATCATTACTCTTAGTGCATGGTATATTTCTTTTCATCTTTTTACTGTGATCTTTATGCTTATATTAAAGAGTGCCTTATTGAGAGCAAAGTTACTTTAAATATTGATATACTTCAAATTTAAATTGAAAATTATTCTATTTATGTTTAATGTAGTTATTAAATAACTATAATATAGTATCATATGTATTTTATAGATGTGTGAAAATATATCGTTATAATTAATGATTAAGTATACGACTTATTTAATTTGGGATTAACATTGCCATGTCTTTGAACTCTACTTTTTCTTTGTTTTCTTATCTTTCAAAATAAATATTTTTATTTTAATTTTCCTTTAGGAACTTATTAATTTAACATGCTTTAAATATTTTTATTAGTGTGGTACATTTTATAGCATATATTCTTTACTCATGGAAGTCTAATGAACTAGTAGTTCTACCCTTTTTCAAACAGGGAAAAGACCTAAGTAATATCTACTTTTATTGACTATTTATACCATATTTGCTTCCTTGAATTCTAATGCAAATATATATTTTAAAATTTGAAACTTTACCATTAACATTTTACCCATTCAGTATTTATTTAAACATATCCATGTAATTTCTTTTCTTCAACTCTTTCTTTTCTGTAAATCCAACTTTTCAGCCAGTATAAATGTTTCATCTTTTCTTTTAAATTTTTATTTATTGTTGAAAGTTTTATGGATATCCCCTATTCTCCCTTCCATTGATCCCCTCCACCCTCCTCCTGCACCCTCCCCAGGCTTTCACCACACTATTGTCTGTGTCCATGGGTTATGCAAATATGCATATAAATTCTTTCTTTAATCTCTCCCCACCCCTTCTCTCTGCTATATGTCAGTCTGTTGCATGCTTCATTGTCTCTGAGTCTATTTTGTTCATTAGTTTATTTTGTTCATTAGATTACACATAAAAGTGAGATTATATGATACTTGTCTTTCTCTGCCTGGCTTATTTCACTTAGCATAATACTCTCCAGGTCCCTCCATGCCGTGTCAAAGGGTAAGAAATCATTCTTTGTTACAGCTGCATAGTATTCCATGGTGTAAATGTACCACAGGGTTTTTTTAATCCACTCATCTACTGATGGGCACTTGGGCTATTTCCAGATCTTAGCTATTATAAATAGCACTGCTATGAGCATAGGGGTGCATATATTCTTTCTGATTGTTTCAGTGTTTCATTTTTAGAAGATTCTTAAATATTTCTTTTAGTTAAAGTTGCTGGCTATTTAATCCCCTACATTTAAAAAAATTTCTTGAAAATTAATTTATTTTGCCATCATATTAGGAGAATATTTTTGCTTGTTATTTACTTCAAAAGTAACTATAAAAAAGTTTTTAAAAAGGCAAAATACACAATGGGTGAACATGATACTTGAGATTACATAAATTTTTGTAGTCAGTACTTCCCAGATAACTCATTTTTTACTAATTTACACAGCTAAGCCAACTGAAAAAGTAAAAACATTAGTCAGATTATTATTTCTCTCTCCAATGTTGCAAAGGAAATAATCTCCTTGATGCCATAACCACATTTTTTCATTCTATCTAGTAAAGAAAACTAAAAATTGATGGCATGAAAATCAAGCTTACAACTTTAAAAATCATTGTTTTTCTCCCAAAATATGAAATTTTCTGCTTACCCTTTTTACAAATGAACAAACATATTATCATGTAGGGAAAATTATTTGTGTTGGCTTTTCTGTTCTTCTGTGTTATTGAATTACAAGTTTAAAGACCCTATTTTTTATCACATATTTTTATACTTCTCAGAATACAACAGGTAATGGGTAATGCATTTGTTTGCAGGGATTTTATAAGTTACACTTAAAGAATAAGATAAAAACAAAAATGACAGGATTTCTTTTTTCTCACTGCCAAATGATAATCCATTGTATACATTTAAATATCCCACATTTTCTTAATCCATTTTATTGTTGATAGACCCTTAGGCTGTTTTTTTATCTTGGCTATTGCGAATAATGCTGTAATGAACATGGGAGTACAGGTATCCTATTTTCATTTAATTTGAGTACATTTTCAGAAGTTCGGATAGTTCTATTTTTAATTTTTTGAGGAGTCTCCATACTGGTTTCCATAATAGCTGTACTAGTTTAAATTCCTACCAACAGTGCCCAAGGGTTTCTCTTTTCCCCTCTTCCTCATGAGCATTTGTTATCTTTTGTCTTTTTGTGAGGTGTTATCTTGTGATTTTGATTTGTATTTCCCTGATGATTAGTGATGTTGAGTACATCTTCATGAACCTCTTATCTATTTGAATGTCTTCTTCGGTAAAATGTCTATCTGGGTCCTTTCTCCCCTCCCTTTAAAAAAATTTATCTTTATTCTTGAAAGTATTACAGATATATCCCTTTTTTGTTTTTATGCTTTTGAGTTGTATGAGTTCCTTATATATTTTGGATATTAACTCCTCATATATGTGGTCTGCAAATATTTTCTCTAATTTAGTAGGTTATCTTTTATTTTGTTGGTGGTTACCCTTGCTGAGCAGAACCTTTTTTTTTAATACCTGGTTTTTTAAAAAATTATTGAATTTATTGGGGTGACATAGATTAATAAAATTATATGGATTTCAAATGTACAATTCTATAAGACATCATCTGTATACTGTATTGTGTGTTCACCACTCAAAGTCATCTCCTTCTGTCACCATTTATCCCCCCTTCGCCCTCTTCTACCTCCTCCACCCCCTTTCCCTCTGCTGATCACTATACTGTCGTCTGTGTCTATGAGTTTTTTGGGTTTTTGGTTTTTTTGAAGCTATGGTACATTTACACAATGGAATGCTAGTCAGCCATAAAAATGAGGGAAATTTTACCTTTTGCAACTGCATGGATGGACCTGGAGAGTGTTATGCTAAGTGACATAAGCCAGTCAGAGAAAGACAAATATCTGATTTCACTTACATGTGGAATCTAATGAACAAACTAAACTAACAAACAAAATAGAAACAGACTCGTGGATACAGAGGACAGCTGTCAGAGGGAATGGGCTTGGAGGGCTGGTGAAAAAGGTGAAGGGATTAAACAGAAGCTTTTTAGTTTGATGTAGTTCCACTTGTTTATTTTTTATTTCGTTGCCTTTTCTTTTGCAGTCAAATGCCCTGCCACTGTGTTGCCTTTGCTTTTGGTGTCAAATAAAAAAAAAAAACAAAAAAAAACAGGGCCAAAACCAATGTCAAGGAGTTTAACCCCTATGCTTTCTTTAAAGAGTTTTGTGGTTTCGCTTTTTATGTTCACGTGTTTAATCCATTTTGAATTTATTTTTTTGTATGGTATAAGATAAGAGTTCATTTTATTCTTTGTGTGAGACTATGCAGTTTTCCCAGCACCATTCAAGAAGACACTATTCTTCCCCCATTGTATATTCTTTGATCCTTTGTTGAAAATTCCTTGAGCATGTATGCATGGTTTTATTTCTTGACTCTCCGTTTTGTTCCATTAATTTTAGTTCCTGTTATGCCACACCAAAATGTTTTAATTACTATAGTTTTATAATATATTTTTAAATCAGAAAGATTGGTGCTTCCCACTTTTTCTTTCTCAAGATTGCTTTTTTTATTCAGGACTTTTGTGTTTCCATACAAATTTAAGATTGTTTGTTCTACTTAAGTGTACTGTACTATTAGAATTTTAATAGGTTTGCACTGAATCTATAGATTGCTTTGGGGTTCCCATGGACTGCTTGGGTTGATCCACAGATGAGACACTCCTAGTGTCTCATGTGCAGGCTTCTTGATGGAGTCCAGGTTGTGCGTGGTGTGGTTCTTGGACTTGACCATACCTGCACCAAAGCCCACAACTCCCAAAACACCTGTGACTAGAAGAGCTCCTCCAGTCTTTACTGTCTTTGAGAGAGAATTCTCTTCCATTATTCCTCCTATAACATAGAATGAAAAGCATATAATCTGTATACAATATTGTACTAACCAGAATTAAATGTACTTAATAACAAACTAACAAGTCCCTTGGAACAAAAACAGGGACCATATTTCTTGCTAAAAACCTGTATTTTAGCCTTTATTTTAATACATTGCAGGGACCAGCAGTTCCAGTTCCTGTTCAGGTAGGAGCTGATTGACTGCAGGAATTCATCTGATGCAGAAGGGTTCAATATGCTGACACCAAGATTTTTGTTGGAACTAACAAGAACGTTGCCTGCACATCCTCACTTCCCTTCCCTCTTCTTATAAATGACACTGGCTTGACCAGAGATGTTAAGATGGTTTTAAGGACAGGAGCCCTCCATCTTCTGGGGTCACTGGCACCTGAATAAACCTCTTTCCTTGTCATCAGCACCTGTCTCACAGGTATTGGCTTTTATGGCAGCAGGCAGCTGAGCCTGTGTTTAATATCACTGTTAGTGATTCTGTGGCTTTCAAGGATTTGTAAGTCATGGATGTGACTTCAGAGCTATTTTGAAAAGATTTACTATTTTATTTATATGACTGTTTCTTTATAAATTCTAAGATAACACCATAGAGGAAAAAATTATTTTCTGTTCCACTATATGACATAGATTGATATTAAACAAACAAAAATTAAGTCTTCTAGCATGGGCTAAGTTAATATAATGAAAACATTTCTTCGTGAAAGAAATGACATCTCAATAATATTGCTTATTTTTAGAAATATAGAAACTTTCAACTGAGGTGGGGCCAAGAAATTATTTCTCCATTACTAGTGCATGAAACTGTGCCAAGCAATATTAGTTAGTTGCCAAGATGGTGACCTGTTCTTCCTCCTGTCCCACCAAAGTATACATTTAAGATTTACAGGATCTCTGCC